CGGATTATAGATACCTCTTATGTGGTTATAAGATGTATTTGATGTATTTAAGCTATTGTATTCATGAATACAATAGCAAAAATAGGCGTGAATCAGGGAAGTCCAGCTAATCAGTTGTTGTATTCGAGTGTATTCGACTGTATTCATGGAGTGAAACATGGGATTACGGCTGGACAGATTATTGTATTCGACTGTATTCGGCTGTATTCACGGCGTGAAATAGGGGATTACACTATTTTAAAAACGGAAAGTGAATCAATTAACATAATAGACTCCTAATATAACTCAGCAAACTCAATTATAACACACAAAATTTGTATAAAAAAGATTCTCAACCAAAAAATACCCCAAAAACATAGCAATCTTCAGAGAAATTATATAATACATCTGAATACATAAATTATATTAATTAAAAAAACTTATGAATACATTCATGGCATATAGCGAGATAGTGAATACGATGAAATACATAGAATACAGCGGAATACATTGAAATACAATGGAAAAAAAGACAGAGAATACAATAAAATACATGGAATACAACGAGATACATTGAATTACAATGGAAAAAAAAAAGACAATGAATACAAAGAAAATCATGAAAAAAAATAGCGTAATACGTTGAAATTACATTGAAATATATTAAAAGAAATGCTCTTCTTCATCGCGAAAGAAAGAAATCGTCATTTAGTGGATCTCCGAAACCGAATCCTCTTTCCACGACCGCCATCTCCTCGTTGGACTTAAAATTATGAGCAATATTCCTATGTTGAAGTTGATGAAAATCTCGAAAATTTTGAGTACTACTCAAACGATCAGAATCTTGAACTTCTTGTTTGCACCATAGCCTTTAGTATGCTCTCTAGTATGCTTTCTATTGCTGCAATGTCATAAGCTGCCGCCAACTCCTCTACTCCAGAAGAAGACAAAGCAAAAAGAATGAAAAAAAGTTGATTAGCGTATAAAGGGAGGGGGAAGTGGGAAGGGATAGAAAGAAAATCGGTGGAAGGAGGAGGAGATCGGAAATTTTAATAGGATGGGGAAGAGAATGGGATGTATCAAAGTAGAGAGAGAAAGAAAATAGTGTAACTGATTAGCGTATTTAGTGGCTTAGGGCTAGGAGGTAACCAAAATTAAATATTTTGCTATAAACCTTAAAAGGTATCTATAGAATATAATATTTTTAAATGGTATTTATTTAAAATAAATAAGGTGTTAACCTTTGTTATAGGAGGTAAAAATTCCTAAAACAAATGCACTCTTACCTTGAAGAAAAGTTGAATTCTACTCATGTTCTATCGGCCCAGTAAGCTACGTAGCCTATATTTTTAAAGTACTATAATTGTTTTATCCTTTTGCATAGTTGTGTCACATCTTTTTTCTTTTTATTCTTATCTCTTGCTTTATATTCAATAGACAAATAACAATTCGATTATTACATTCTTTAATATAGTACGCACGAACGAGTTTTAATTTCTATTCTGTCTTGCATTTTGTTCCTACTTTTGTCTTCTTGAGTTCTTCCAGAAAAATATAATATGCACGCTTCTTAGTTTATATCCTATTTTGCTTTAATTTCTGTTACAATTGTTTCTTAAATTCTTCTAGAAAAATATAATACCACGATTCGAGTTTTTATTTTATTTTCATGCTAATTAATTACAGAATAATTAAAAGGTTCAACTCGGGATATTGCTCATAAATCAATCTCAATTTGTGATTAGATCAATATGATAAGCAAATTTAAGTTATGGAACAAAATATTAAACAAGTTCTTTTTGGAAGAACAAAAAAACAAAGAAAAGTTGTACTAATTTATAAGTGATATTATCAGTGATAGACTACTACTCCAGGTTATAGTAAGAGAATGTGACATAAAATTCTCTTTGCAGGATGCAGTCAAAATAAAAGCTTGGTAAGTTATTTATTACTCCATTCAAAACAGGCCAGCGTGAGTTGAGACTATTAAGTAGTTTATATAATATTGTCCCTTCATTTGTAACTAATTGTCAACTTAGGGATAGAGTTTTTAAAAATTATGCGTCGAGGTCATTACATTTTATGAAGATTTTCTACTATTTCCATCTCATGGAAAATGGAAATAGTTTATTTTAGTCTAAGCTAGATAATTTTTCTAACGAAGAGCATTCTTGATTGCTATTCACATTCAGTAAATCATGCCAAATTGCCATGAAGGTTACCGTTATTAGCTAGCATGAGTAGCTAAACTACATTTTGTTTAGCTGTTAGTAACATCAATCAGCTATATTCTTTACCCTTAATTATATAATGTTGTCATCCTTAAACTCCTTTGCTCCCCATCGAGTGCTAGCGTGTCCCGCTATTTGATATGTACTCTGTAAGGACATTAAATAAATTACAAGACCAAACAATTTAATATTGTCTTGTATTTTCTGTAATAAATTTTCTCATATTCAAACCTATATATTGTATTTTCAAGAGGAATATCAACGTCAACAATAGAGTTTTGGTCATGACCAGTAATAAGTCGGTGGAACATACTCCAAGAACGTCTATAAGAAAAAATCAGGTCTCCTATAATCGTATTACATATTTATGTCTCAAATAACATTAATGATGTTCGACTACAAAACTTATCTACATATCCAATTATTTTGAGTTTAATACCATATCGGTTGCACAAATCATTTTTCAGGTAGCATCTATCCCTTTTAATTAAGTCATCAAAAACTTTGTACTGCAAAATACGAGATAAGGATACACGTGCAACACACGTGTCTAGAAACTAGTCTATATTAAAAGCGCACGAAGGTCCTTAGCGAAATATCGTTCGTCTTTTTTACCCTTTAAAAATAGACGTCCACATTAAATAAAATGGTAATATAAGTTATTTTATCAACTAAAATTTTATTTATTAAATTGTTCCTTATTTGAACTATGTATAAAGTACTAATAGTTATGATTTTAAAATTATATTTTTGAATAGCTTGATTTCCATAAATTTTAAAAATTCTAAAATGACTTTCGTATAAGATTAATTGAAATTTACATGTGAAAAGAGGAAAACACCTTAATTTGATAAAAACACGTCCACAAATGCATGAGCAATTGCTCTAGGCATTAGTAAGCAAATAAATTTCACGATAGTCAGATAAAAACTCTTCTAAAAAGAAATGTTTACTTAGAGTTTATGTATGGAATATAACATAGGTTAAAATGAATAACTCTCAAAACAAACCATGTAAAATAAGTTAATCTGTAAATCTATTTGTAATTACAGATGCACTAAATTTCAATAAAATCGACTTTTTTAAAAAAAATTTAATTTGATTTTTTATTTGACAATAGTATTTTATTATTTTTTAATATTTAAGATTTTGAAATAAAAATAAAATTTATTTTATGAAATTACTTAGAGCTAATGCATGGAATATAACATAGGTTAAGATGAGTAACTCGCTCAGAACATACCATGTAAAATAAGTTAATCTGTCAATCTACTTGCAATTATAAATGCACTAAATTTCAAGAAAAGTGACTTTTTAATTTTTTTTTTTAAATTTAATTTTACATTTGAGAAATTGTATTTTATCATTTTACTAATATTTAAGATTTTGAAATAAAAATAAAATTTAGGTTACGAATTATTTTTTATATAGATTATACTTAAGAATTCCTAAAATTAATGACTAAATCACTTAAAATTTATTTGATAAATTCTTTTCTCATTGAACACTGTAAAAGCAAAATTCTTATTTGCTAAAATGACAATTTATTTATTAAATTTTTCTTATTTTAACGAATATGTAGGATCTCCTAATGTTTAATAATTTAAAATTAATGAATATTTCATCTTACATGAATTTTCTTATTTGCACACATTGAAAATAAAAGTTTTATTAGAGTGAAATCTATCCGAGAAAAGGACAAAGAATGAAAGTAAAAAATATATAATGTTTTTAAACTTTTAATCTCTCTCTTTTTTTTCTTTTTTTTATAAAAGCAGCTTAACTTCATTTTCTACATAAAATATCAGTTTTAGAATCTTGATAAATAAAATTAAATATTATTTTCTTTATTTTCAGAAAACTGAAAAACTAATTGATTCGTTAAACCATTGGAATTAGCATAAAGTTTTTGTACTCCATTTATATCAACTGAAAGAGATAGCTCCTAGCTTTGCTAAAAAGATCGATTGTCCAAAATTTACAATTAATATTAAAATCTTCGTTATTTCCTTATATTCCTTACTTGTCTTTTTTAAAATTCATTATCTTCTCATGTAATAACAATATGAATGTAACAGTTATGAAAATAGGTGAAATATAACATCATAACATATTTGGTTTTGATACAATAAATTATTTATAATTACAAATACTATTTAACTAATCCAACTTAATTCATCATCTTTTGCATGTTCAAAAGATATTGAATTTAACTATTTTGTCAATGTAAATTAATTTTATATTATTAAACATATATTCATTTATTTTAACTTTAATTGCTATTTTTCAACAATTTTTTTCCGTCTTGTATACGCTTAATAATGATTGACGCAATGTACACGTGCAATGCACGTACACTAACACTAGTACTATATCAAAAGTACGAAACTCCTTCCGCACAAAAATACGAACAAAGCCAAAAGTTATTTACCGAAAAGAAAAAAAAAACTTTTCTACAAACTAGGGATATATACAAAAAAATTGTTAAAGTTTTTATTCATGTCAGCACTTTTAAGTTGAATTTATCTATCGAGATGACAAAGAATTAACAAGGGACCTAATTTCTTCTTAATTGAGTTAGTTAAATAAGATCAACTATTATTATTTTCAAGAACTTACACTTTAACTTTTAAATAATTTTTATGTAACTCAAATATAATTTTTAATATAATAGCTATATGATATTTAAAGTTTTGTATTGATGGAGATTGGATTGCGTAAGTGAAGACTAGTAGATAAAATAACCAAGGAGGCAAATTTCACTGGTCTTAAAATGGGATATGCCACTGATAAAGGGGAGGAACACCAAACACCTAATCTATTAGAGTGAAAATACAATAAAGAAAAAAGAAGTATAATCTCAGGTCTTGATACACTTCCACAACAGAAATCAAATTCCAAAGAGAGCAACTCAACAATCAAGGTTGGTTGAAATGTAAGTACTGGGCAGAATCCGAAAAGAATTTACAAGGTTGACTGGAAAGCACTAGGCATCCAAAAGAAAACAGAAGCCGCAAAGACTACAATTTAAAACCATAACGCTTTTAGTTATTGCCAGAACTAATTCTCGAATGCTTCAGCTCCACAAGTGAAAAGGCCAAAGCAGCAACAGAGTAGTTAATGGATTAGCTTCGTTGAATCCACTGCAATATATCCGGTCGGATCACTCCCTCAAAACCATTTTTCGCATGATTCATGGCTTTGAAACTAGCTGGCAAGACAGTGTTGAACTGCCTGTACTGGATGCTTGTTCCAGCAGGACTTCTTGGTTTGATCATCATAGAAATGGTTGGATAAGCTTTTTGCCATGTGTTCCTCGCTGAGGTAAACAGATGCCTGCTGCTGGATCCCTTATCCTGGCCAGCACCATATTTCTGGAATCCCTCCGGTTTTGGGGAGTGAGATGATTTCCTAAGCTGCTTACTTGCGCTCGTAATTGCATTGCTATCTGAGGGATTTCCTCGAATATTAGCTGATGGCTTCATCTTGTCAAGCCATCGAAGGATCCAATTCCCAAGATTCCTACCAGCTTCAATATCTCTTTCCTGTATCTTGCGATGAATGGTCAGTGCCACGTCAAAGGCAGCTCGTGTTCGCCTGGAAAAGAAAGAAACAATTTATAACAATAATACAACCAACAATGCAGCCAAAATGGCAGAAAAGATCATGAGTAAGCATCACACAGCAGGGAATAACCATTTTTGGGTAATTTGGACAAGTTGCAGTCAACACGAAACATCTTAAATTTGTTTTTTTGAAAGGTGAGAATGTGGAACTATTGCGTGCTAAAAGAGGATTGTAAGAACCTTAGACAGTAACAATTCCCTAGTGAAGGGTCTGAGCTCACTAGTTGCCTCTCATTACAGAAATTGAGAAATTATGTGCTAAAACATCACAAGGATAAATCAAAAAACCTCTGTACGGGACTCATATTTATGAAGAACACGAACAGTCTACACTTTTCTATATCAAATTCCTATCACATTTGGCCTGCAATTCATGCCATGAATATTCTTTTCCTTGTACAAACATGCACAGGCATAACATATTCTTCAAGGCTCTGTATTGCTGATTTCTGTCATAGGGAGTTCATTCTCAGTTCATCCTGCTGGATTCAAAGCTAAATCTGCCTCATCTTCCTCCTCATGTCAAGAGTAATATGATACAATCGACTAATTGAGAAAAATTCAACTACAACAATCTTTGTTCTCACACCCAGGGCTGCACAAAGTCAGTTTGGTGTCCAAAATTCAGATTCTCAAAACTGAAACTGACCAATCCAACATCATTTTGGTTTGGTTTAGGCTCCTTTATGCTTCGTGCAAATCAGTTGAACACATTGGTGAATTTGATTCCATAAAACAATAACAAAGCTGGACTCAGAAGGGAATGATCGATTAAATTAAGAGAAACCTAGAGAAAAAAGGATGGTGTGCATCAGTTTCCAGCATGATGGAGGTATTGAGGTAATGAGGCATCATTGCCGAACCTACATGGGGATTGAGTCAAGACTCATAAGCGAAGGCTGCTGACTTAAACAAGATCTTGGTGGGCAAAGCATAAATTGCACTTAGCAATTGATAGAAGGGTGCTGTTCAAAGAAAATCTCTGGCTAAGAAGAGAATTGAAAAAACGGAACAAGAATTATGAGAAAGAGAAAAGAAGAATAACAGGAAATTGTGGAAAAGAAAAATCTGAAGGCAGAAACAAAAGGGAAAAAGCAAAAGAACAAGATAAAAAAGAGTCATGGAAGACACTCTAATGATGCTATTTAGCAACTAACAAGCTTTAGTCTTAACTAGAGAGAGTTCTGCTTCCCATATTAACCAGACACTAGTTTATACAGTATACTCATGTCAACACGGCATGATACCGGCACGGGGGGTGAAAATGTGGTTCATTTGGCCATTTTAATTGAGATACTACCTACCAACTCGTGGCAGTCAACTAGTAGAAGATATTGATGAAGAGGAATATGGAGAAATTCATTCTTCTACTTTTAACCTTTAGATTACACTCACACCCCTAAATTGTAAAAGTAGTCCACTCTTCAGCATCTATATGTTAACTTCTAAGTTTATGCTTCTTAGCTGTATTCGCCTACATTTATGCAACGCCTTATTAATATCCTTACATCTTGAACATAAAAGCTTTGGATAATCCAACACCTCAAGAAGCACGCATGCCTATCATGACTACAAAAATCAAAGGTAATCTACACCCAGTTTTGCATATTTAAGTGTAACGTGTCAGAAAGGTAATTGGGAACAAGAAGCATAAACTACTGATAATTCAAGAATGGCAGAATAAAAAGTTGATGAAGACAAAAGTATCAAAAGAAGCAGCAAGATGATATTCCAGCTTAGCCACCTAAGAGAAGTGATCCTCACTTTGAATTGCAGTACCGACTAATCACCAGGTTTTACAGAACCTATGCCAGAAATGAAATTGCATATGCATTCGGAACGGGATACTAGACTTTGCTTTTTCAAACATCATCCAAAACACCATACCGTTTCTATTATTTACAGGAATCAGTGTTGCTACATCTTATTCGCTGATACATTTCTCTCTGAATTAGTAACTCCAAAAAGTGTTACCCTAACTATCATTGTCTTAGAATGACAAATCATTTAACCACGAAAAGGGAATCATTATAAATGACAACAATATTAAGATCTAATTGAAATCAAAAAGTACCTTTGAGCGAAAGCACGAAGCCTGGGGTGATTGGGAGTAATGAGCTTACGCTGAATCCTCAAGAAGAGCTTGTAAGTGCGTTTCAGACCCAAGAAATACGCCGTTGCCAATGTGATCTCCCATAGCACCATTCTCTCTCTTCAGGAAAGAATATCCAAATGAGGAAAAGAGCATTAAGTATTATGTTTGCTTGTGCTTTCAGCTTTCTCTTATAGTGAACCGTTTTCGTTTTCAACAAGACAAAATAAGTCGTGGAATTCTGGAGAGCCGCCACCAATTTCAACCTTCCGCATTTTCTCCCTTCTCTGCCTTTCTCTCTCTCATATTTTGGGCCAGTTTTGGGCCACGATATGTATTATAGCAAAAATAGCCAGATTTACAAGTGGTCATTCAATAGCCACAGTTTCAAAAGTTATCAAAATTAAGCCACTTTTCTTCTAAAGATAAATCTAAACGAAAATACTATTCAAAATTCGATACTCCAGCATAATATACTGGAATTCCAGTATAATATACTGCAACTCCAGTATATTATACTTTTTCAGCAAAGTATACTGGAACTCCAGTATATTATACTGGACCGGTCTTTGTTGCAGCAAAATAGTGGTTACTTTACAATGACTTGGCAAACGCTAACTATTTTCCAATGACCAATCCGAAAACTGGCTAGCCGTGCTATTTTGACCAAATGAGATTGACCCAGCCTATTATTTCGTTTTAGTTCCATAGCGAATGCTTTTGTTTTCGGGGGAAGTGCACGGTTAGCCACTAATAACACATGTATTTACTTTTAAACCACTGTTTAAAATATCTTTAGTCTTTAGCTACTGCTTTAATAAACTTTAACTTCCCGGACGAAAATACCCTTTTGCTCATGTCCTTAACTTTTGAACTTCAGGACTACATGTCCTTAACTTTTAAACTTGGAACTCTAAGTTCAGGACTTAAGGAATACATGTCCTTAACTTTTGAACTTAACTTCAGGACTACATGTCCTTAACTTTTGAACTTGTAACTGTAAATTCATGACCAAGTGTCCTTAACTTTTGAGCTTGTTAGTCTAAGTTCAGGACTTCAGGACCTATTGTCCTTAACTTTTGAGCTTGTTAGTCTAAGTTCAGAACTTCGGGACCTATTGTCCTTAACTTTTGAGCTTGTTAGTCTAAATTTAGGACCTATTGTCCTTAACTTTTGAGCTTGTTAGTCTAAGTTCAGGACTTCAATACCTATTGTCCTTAACTTTTGAGCTTGTTAGTATAAGTTCAGGGCCAAGTGTCCTTAACTTTTGAACTTGTAATTCTAAGTTCAGGACCAAGTGTCCTTAACTTTTGAACTTGGAACTCGAAGTTCAAGACCAAGTGTCCTTAACTCTTGAACTTGTAATTGTAAGTTCAGGATCCATAACGTAGCAGAAAACCAAACGTTAGTTGTATCTTTTCACAAAAAATAAAAATAATAATAATTACAATTTACATATAAGATTGATGTCAAATTACACAATAGAAAGCTAATAACAAAAAGAAACAACTAAAAAAAATAAAAGACTACAGAACCTTCATTTTCTCTTTCATGAAATATCTTCTAAAATGCATTCATGGTGTTTGTCGAGACACAAACACATGAATTAAAAGACATTTTGTACAGAAGGAACTAATAAGTTATAATGCATTTAAGGATATAAACTTTGAATAGCTTGGCTGAAGGCTGAGTTTAAGATCAGAGACATAGCCATGTGTTACTGAGAGAAAAAAAATGCACAGAAGAGATTGAGAGAGAAGCACACATAGCCAACCACTTTTGTACAGAGAGAAGCGAGGGTTTGGGAAGAAAAGAAATGGAAGAAGGGGTAAAAATATCTTTTCAAAATAATTTTAATAGAGTAGTGGCTATTTTTACTCAGCATTAGAATTGGTGGATAAGAAATAAACACCACCTTATTTAGTGGCTATCACACACCATTTCTACTTTGTTTTCTTTTGATGGTCCAATTGAACACAAACTCTATCTACAATTTAAACTTTCAACAACACAATTTGTATTGCAACTTCTCAACCAAAATTCAACCGATTAATTTTGATTCTAAGTTACATAGTATGAAAAAATTATGCCGGAATTATAATGACGAAATTATAGTATGAGGATTAAATAATAACAAGATTATTTAGTGGATATACTTTTATTGGTAGATACTTGATTCATTAGATTAAAAATAGAATATACCTGATATAATATAAAACATGTATACTAGGAGTTTTTATATTGTATATCACCCCACCAACACCATAATTTAAATGGGCCCATATTTTCGGATCTTACCTTACACTAGGAGCATATTTTAAAGGGAAATTTTCATAAAACACTATCTTTTTGTAGTAATTAGCCATCTATAGATACCATTTGCTATATTACGGATTATAGATACCTTTTATGTGGTTATAAGATGTATTTGATGTATTTAAGCTATTGTATTCATGAATACAGTAGCAAAAATAGGCGTGAATCAGGGAAGTCCAGCTAATCAGTTATTGTATTCGGGTGTATTCGACTGTATTCATGGAGTGAAACATGGAATTACAGCTGGACAGATTATTGTATTCGACTGTATTCACGGCGTGAAATAGGGGATTACACTATTTTTAAAAGGGAAAATGAATCAATTAACATAATAGACTCCTAATATAACTCAACAAACTCAATTATAACACACAAATTTTGTATTTTCAGTTATAAAAAAAGATTTTCGACCGAAAAATACCCCAAAAATATAGCAATCTCCGGAGAAATTATATAATACATCTGAATACATAAATTATATTAATTAAAAAAAAAAACTTATGAATGCATTCATGACATATAGCGAGACAGTGAATACAATGAAATACATAGAATACAATGGGATACATTGAAATACACTGAGAAAAAAAGACAGTGAATACAATGAAATACATGGAATACAACGAGATACATTGAATTACAATAAAAAAATAATGAATACAATGAAATACATGAAAATACATTGACATATATTAACAGAAAATCATCCCACAACATCCATATCTCAATTTTTTCAATTGGCAGGGACGGTATTCATGAGGCTGGTGGAGCTAGCTTATACAGCTGTGAGGAACGAGTTTAGGAGGAGAATGGGAAGAAAAACGACAGTGACAAGCCTTGGCGGATTCGACACTTGCTACACAGTCCCTATTACAATTCCAACAATAACGCTGATGTTTGCGGGCATGGAAATACGCTGCCGCAAGACAACTTCTTGATCCGTAGCAGTTCAAGCAGTACCACTTGCCTCGCTATGGCTGCTTTCCCTGCTGACCCAGTCAATTCCGTCCTCAACGTCATAACATAATCATTACTTACAGTATGTTTTTCACATTAAGAGTACCAAAAAAATATTGTACGAAAATAATCATGATATGTAATATTATACCAGATGCTTCTGAAGTCCAGATTGAACTTGAAATTGACTCTCGAGATTGTAACGAGAAAAGGATAGGTGAATATGTTGAGGAAATTCCAAGGAGATCGGAAATTTTAATGGGATGAGGGAAGAGAATGGGATGTATCAAAGTAGAGAGAGAAAGAAAATAGTGTAACTGATTAGCGTATTTAGTGGCTTAGGGCTAGGAAGTAACCAAAATTAAATATTTTGCTATAAACCTTAAAAGGTATCTATAGAATATAATTTTTTAAATGGTATTTATTTAAAATAAATAAGGTGTTAATCGTTGCTATAGGAGGTAAAAATTATTATTTTAAAACAAACTAGTTTTAGGATACGCGCGTTGCACGTGGATGGCATACGTCTATCAATCAAAATTTATAGGAGTATACAATAAGACAAATGATGTAGCAATTGATATAATATTTATTGGGGTTTAGACATAGTTACCCACAAAAACAAAACTATTTCCCCTTGTCCACCCATTTGTTTTTCTACCCATAAACTAATTACATTTCCTACCCACAGTAGTTTTTGTGGGAAATTTTTTCTTTATTCTACAATTCTTTTTTATTTCTATGCTTCTTTTTCTTTTCTCCTTTTATTTTTTCTCGCTTTCTTCTTATTTTTTTCTTTTTTTCTAATTTCATTTAACTTCTTTTCTTTATATTCTTTTTCTCTTCAAATCTAATTTTATTTACTGTTTTCACTATTTTTTATTATTCTTTTTTTTATATTATTACTAAAGAAAAATCAAATTGTGTACCAATAAAATTTAGCTAATACAATCAAAGAATATTAACTAACATATGATACCAGTATAGTATATAGGTGTAACGACCCGGCCGGTCGTTTTTGGAATTTACGCCCCGATCCCCCATTAATTGCTTCCCCTAAGTTCATTTCTGCTATTTTGGTTTGCCGGGACGTTCGGTGTCAGGGTTCGGAGCGTTTTGGGACACTTAGTCCCTAAATGAGAGCTTAAGTGTTGAAAGATGGTCCGTAATCGGAACAGTGTGAAGACGACCTCGGAATGGAAATCCGATGGTTCCGTTAGCTCCGTTAGGTGATTTCGGGGTTGGGAGCATGTTCGGAATGCATTTTGGAAGCTCGTAGCTCATTTAGGCTTGAAATGCCGAAGTTTGAATTTTTGAAGTTTCCGGTCCGATAGTGAATTTTTGATCCGAGGGTCGGAATGGAATTCCGGAAGTTTCTGTAGCACCGTCGTGTCATTTGGGATGTGTGTGCAAAATTTCAGGTCATTCGGGCGAGGTTTGGTCAGGTTTTTGATCGAAAGTGTGTTTTGTTGGAATTTGAAGTTCTTAGGCTTGAATCTTTGATTAATTCGTGTTTCCGGCGTTGTTTTAGGTGTTTTAAGGATTGGTACGAGTTCGAATAAGGTATTAGGTGGTATTGGTGCTTTTGGTTGAGGTCACGGGGGCCTCGGGATGATTTCGGGTGGTTGACGGAAAATTTTGAAGTTGAATGAATTGCTGAAGGTTCTGTCATCTGGTATTTCCGCTTCTGCGGCTTGGGAAGCGCAGAAGCGGAGCCGCAGAAGCGGCTGGACCACCGCAGGAGCGAAATTCGAGTGCTTCTTCAGTTTCCGCAGGTGCGGAAGTTTAACCGCAGAAGCGGTTACGCACCTGCGAGATGGTAGTCGCAGATGCGGTCCTTGGGATTTTGTTTGAAACCGCAGAAGCGGTAATGAATCCGCATAAGCGGCAACCGCAGGTGCGGTGAAGGGGCCGCAGAAGCGGAAATCTTGACTTTAATGAAGAACCGCTGAAGCGGCTCGTGGTCCGCAGAAGCGGGACCGCAGAAGCAGTCCCTTGTCCGC